CGTCTCCTGGGTTCAAGCGATTCTCCTGCCTCAGCCTCCCGAGTGGCTGGGACTACTGGTGCCCACCACCACAACCTGTTAATTTTGCATTTGTAGTAGAGACGGGGTTTCTCCATGTTGGCCAGGCTGGTCTCAAACTCCTGACTTCAGGTGATCCGCCTGCCTGGGCCAAAGTGCTGGGATTACAGGCGTGAGCCACCACACCCGGCCTAGAGCTTATTTTCTACCTATGTTTAATAGGAAGCTTGATAACACAAGCAAATGTGATGCCATTCTGGGACTGAAATGTCTTCTTCTGAGTGTATTCAGATGAGGTGTACCAGTGTTTAAAGATTAGTTGGAAGCTATTCTCCTCGTGTGCATGTGTAATTTCTACTTACTCCATTTCCTTTTAATGAGAAAAGAATCATGTTGTCTGAATTTTCCTGTATAAAGTTTTAAAAAGTTAATTATTAGGACTTCTTTTTAAAGGAGTAAGCAATGGAAGGATCAAACATTTATTAAATATATTCAGCAAATATATAAATGTATTCAGCAAGGAAGAGAATGGGATTCACCTAAATCCTATTCATACTGCTTTGAGTTTATAAAAGTGGAGTTTTTTTATTTTTTGAGATGGAATCTTACTCTGTCACCCAGGCTGCAGTGCGGTGGCACGATCTCGGCTCACTGCAACTTCTGCCTCCCAGGATCCTTCCCGGGTTCAAGCGATTCTTGTCCCTCAGCCCCCTGAGTAGGTGGGATTACAAGCTTGAGCCATCACGCCCAACTAATTTTTGTTTTTATTAGAAATGAGGTTTCACCATGTTGGCCAGGCTGGTCTCCTACCCTCAGGAGATCTGCCCACTTCTGCCTCCCAAAGTGCTGGGATTACAGGTGTGAGCCACTGTGCCTGCCCTAAAAGTGGAGTCTTTTTTTTTTTTGGAGACAGTCTTCCTGTGTTGCCCAGGCTGGGGTGCAGTAGTGATCCTTGGCTCACTGCAGCCTCTGCCACCTGGGTTCAAGCGATTCTCCTGTCTCAGCCACCCAAGTAGCTGGGATTAGAGGCACGTGCCACCACGCCCAGCTAATTTTTGTATTTTTAGTAGAGACGAGGTTTCACCATGTTGGCCAGACTGGTCTCAAACGCCTGACTTCAGGTGATCCGCCCGCCTCTGACTCCCAAAGTGCTGGGATTACAGGCGCGAGCCACGGAGCCCGGCCTAGAAGTGGGTCTTAGAAGGAGTGGCCGTGATAAATTTCTAGTGAGTAGAAGGGGGAAGGGAGGACATAACCTTTGCATGGTATAGTGAAGTGCAGAGCTGGAAAGATTAAGATTTTAGTGAAACTTTTTTCCCGGTGTTGAATAAGTTAACTTTCAGTCTGTAAAATAAACAGGAAGAAGCTGGGAAGTACACTGTATCAATTGCTTACACTGAATAACCTGCACTGCCTTTCAGCTTCTGCTCCCAGACCACAGACCAGTGGTGGAAGAAGTTACAGATCCTATAAACCACTTTGCTCCTGGCCTTTGTGCCACTATCTTTCATCATTTCTTTTATTCATCAGTAGACTCTTTGGTGAACTCCCCACAAAGACTCCATTTCCATTTCTGGTATCTCTCATAAGACGCTGTCACCTACTTTGTGGAGATGACTGAGGGAGCAGGGTAAGAATTCCCTCATAGTCTACCTTTACTTGGCAGCTGAAGCCTCAAATCCTTAGAAGTTGCAACGTTAACTGCTCCTCTATCTTGCCTCCCATCCTTCCTTTACCTAGAACTTGTTTTCATGTAATAGTATATATGACATCTTCAGTTTCCCCTGTATGCACAGGTGTTTCTTTTGGCTTTTAAATATCTACATTTCTTTTTTCTTTTTCTTCTTTGAGACAGAGTCTTGCTGTGTTGCCCAGGCTGGAGTGCAGTGGTGTGATCTCGGCTCACTGCAGCCTCCGCCTCCCGGGTTCAAGCAATTGTGCCTCAGCCTTCCGAGTAACTGCGGTTACAGGTGCCCGCCACCATGCCCAGCTAACTTTTATATTTTTAATAAAGACAGGGATCTACTGATTTAGGAACCCTGTTTTCCTTAAAAATTGTAATTTTTTTTTTCCAAGATGGAGTTTCCCTCTTGTTGCCCGGCTGAGTGCAATGGCACGATCTCGCTTCAACCTCTGCCTCCTGGGTTCAAGTGATTCTCCTGCCTCAGCCTCACGAGTAGCTGGGACTACAGGCGCACGTCACCACACCTGGCTAATTTTGTATTTTTAGTAAAGAGGGGGTTTCTCCATGTTGGTCAGGCTGGTCTCGAACCCCCAACCTCAGGTGATCCGTCTACCTCGGCCTCCCAAAGTACTAGGATTACAGGTGTGAGCCACCACACCTGACCCAAAAATTGTAATTCTTTTTTCTTTCCTCACAACCTCTCCTGTGTGTGTACGTAATCTATCTTTAGTTTCTATTGCTTTCCACTCATTTTTACTATTTTTTAAAGTTATTTTTCATTTTTAGAGATGGGATGTCATTCTCTCCTAGGCTAGAATGCAGTGACACAATCATAACTTGCTGCAGCTTCAACTCCTGGCCCCAAGCAAACCTGCCTCACCGTCCCAAGTAGCTGGGACTACAGTCAGGCACCACCACGCCCAGCTAATTTTTAAAAAAAATTTTAGAGACCAGGGGTGGGAGGTGGGGTGCCCTCACTGTGTTGCTCAGGCCTCTTGAACTCTTGGCCTCAAGCAATCCTCCACCTTAGCCTCCCAAGTAGCTGGGATTACAGGCACAAGCAAGGGTTGACTAATTTTTTAACTCCTAAAAATATACTCAGTCCTAGGATAGCATAGAGTTTACTATATTAAGGACCTTAAAATCTTGTTGAATATTCAAACATTATAAGCTTGGTCAGTTCAGGGCTAGCATAGTATGTTGCTATTACAGTGGATGTATTCATACATGTAGATAGGAGGAATGCGGCCTGTTACAGAGAACTTGACAGAATTTAGTGTAGATGTAGAAGGTAATAAGCAATCGGATGACAATAGTGCATTTGAAAAGGTACATCTGGCAACTAATTTTACAGCATTGTAGCATTAGTATGGAATATATGAATAGACAAATTAGTCATTGTAGTTGAAATCTCCCTAAAAACATAAATTAAAAACTGCCCTTAAATAGCTTAATATCTTTTGAATAACAATTTTAGGAAGCCCAGGATAACAAAAACCTATATATGCATCGGACAAATGTTATTTGCTGGGGATGACAAATACGTCACCCACCATTGTGACCCATGCTCATAACATATTGATTATGTATCGTGGAACTTGTTGCTGAAGTAACTAGAATGTGTTGAGAGTTTATAGAACAGCTCTCTGGGCAGCTGTTTTAACTAATCAACTTTGGCACTGGGATTAAACATTTTTATACCTTCTAGCATTTAGCAATTCATGCCAATTGAGGTGTCATTGAAGAGTTGGGGCTTGAATGAGAGGATCTCTCATCCTTATTTTTCTTTTGCTTTCTGACCCGAACTTTCTGACCTGTGGTCTTTATATCCTCCACATGTTACCACTATAAGTCGTATCTGGATGCGTTCATGCTGATCCATCTTCCAGTCTCACCTTCCAGTTGGTCCTACTTCATAATCCTTCAGGTTTAATTCAAAACCCAATTTATCCATGATACAGTTTTCTCTGAACTCGTAAGTAAGCCCCATCACTCTTAGCCCTTTTTTGGGCTCATTCTCTAATTGGCCTGTCTGGGTTCCATAATTAGATTGCAATCCTCCAGGAAATGGATTGTATCTGACAGCCTCTTCTATTTCCATAGTAAATACTAGCTGATTGACTGTTGGTAAAGTTTACATCATATAGCAGAAATGGCTTCTTCAGTAAACAGACTGAAGAATGTGCTAGAGACTGGTTGCAATATAAGTGAGGTCTAATTGGTTTTAAATGAAGCATTTTCCATTCTTTCATTACTTCAGTGGTTTCAATTTGGAGTATCTCTTCGATTCTACCTTTAATTCCCACATTTAGATTATGGTCAGATCATTTTCTGTTCCTCAGTTTTGGCTCCAGACCAACGTTTTAGATTTTAATACTATTCTAATCTTGCTTTATCCAACAACAATAAAATCTTGCCAAAAGGACAAGTACTATTGAAGATATTTCTTGTATTTTCATTAAGAAGAGCTATTTTATAAAAGGGATGGATGATATAAAGTATTTATATAACGTTTTTAATGAGAATTTTGAGCCCAATTAGCACATGTTTGTTTTCTCTCCAGCAACCATAGTTAAGTACATCAAATCTCGACTTAGATCATCTGGTAATACAATGAAGTTGGGAAACGGTTTAGGTCGTATCTCAGAGGGTCCTCTCCTCTCACCATCCAAGTTTCTGCAGCAACAGTGTTAAGAAAGGATCCTGGCTGGGCGCGGTGGCTCACGCCTGTAATCCCAGCACTTTGGGAGGCCGAGGCGAGCGGATCACCTGAGGTCAGGAGATCGAGACCAGCCTGGCCAACATGATGAAACCCCGTCTCTACTAAAAATGCAACAATTAACCGGGCGTGGTGGCGGCACCTGTAGTCCCAGCTACTCGGGAGACTGAGGCAGGAGAATCGCTTGAACCCGGGAAGCGGAGCTTGCAGTGAGCCGAGATCGCGCCACTGCACTGCAGCCTGGGCGACAGAGCGAGACTCCGTCTCAGGAAAAAAAAAAAAAAAGAAAAAGCTTAATTTAATGCTTAGTCTAATCCTCCACTACTGAGGGAGCAAGGCGGAGAAGTTTTGATGCGGAGCGTTGTCTGGAAGATGTTTTCGTAGAGGCATTTTAGAAATGCCCCTGGGAGGGTAGAGTAGGGGCTGCCCCGGATTTGTGAGTCCGTTTTAATTCCCCTTGAGAAGCTCGCCATGTGGGCGGGGGCAAGCGCCTGGCTGCGCCGAGGGGCACCGCGGTGCTGCCCGTCACGGGAACCGGCGGGGTCCGGGAGCCCCTTTCTCCGCCCACCCCGCGGTCCGGCCGCGCATGCGCCGAGCTGAGGGCCCAGTGTTGTCGGCTGGGAAATGGCGGCCGCGGGCTTGGTCGCGGTGGCCGCGGCGGCCGAGTACTCTGGCACCGCAGCGTCGGGAGGCAACCTCCCCGGTGTTCACTGCGGCCCAGGCTCCGGGGCAGGCCCCGGTTCTGGCCCGGGCTCGTGGAGCCGCTCTCTCGATCGAGCCCTGGAGGAGGCGGCGGTCACCGGGGTGCTGAGCCTGAGCGGCCGGAAACTGAGGGAGTTTCCCCGGGGAGCGGCCAACCACGACCTGACGGACACCACCCGGGCGGGTGAGCGGGGCGGGGGCGCCTCTGCCCGCGGGAGACCGGGCGCCGGGAGCCGCCCCGGCCGGGGGAGGCGGGTGCGGGGAGTTCCGGGAGCTCGTCCTGTGGGCGCCGGGTCCGGACCCGGGTAACGGGGAGAAGCCGACGGCCCAGCCCTCCGGGCCTGCGCCAGACCCGAGCCCGCGGAGAGGCGGCGGGCGGCGGCATCCCGGGGAAGGGCGCCGGAGTGATTGATGGATGGTTTTTTGGTCTTTCTGAGGAAACTCAACTTCTGCCGCCGCGGAGGGTGGACCTTGCCTCTGAGGAAACTCAACTCTGCCGCCGCGGAGGGTGGACCTTGCCTCGCCCCGGTTCCTGCAGGTCTTCGGATTCGGGGTGCTGGATGGAGCCCCTCAGAGATCCGAGCAGCAGGGCTGGGTTTCCGGGCGGGCTGCATTGTCCATGGAGGTCGGTCTCAGCCCTGGCGGTTTCCCGAAAGAAGTGTTGGGGGTGGCTTGAACCCGAAAGAAGTGTTGGGGGTGTGTGTTTGAACCTGAAATAAGTTGTGTGTGTGTGTTTGAACCCGAAAGAAGTGTTGGGGGTGTGTTTGAACTCGAAAAGAAGCGTTGGGGGTGTGTTTGAACTCGAAAGAAGTGTTAAAAGTTTGAACCGAAAGAAGTGCTGGGGTGTGTGTGTTTAAAGTGAACCTGAAAGAAGTGTTGGGGGGTGTGTGTTTGAACCTGAAATAAGTTGTGGGGTGTGTGTTTGAACTCAAAGAAGTGTTGCGGGTGTGTTAGAAGTGAACTCCGAAAGAAGGTTGGTGTGTATGTGTTGAACCAGTCAAGTTTTGGGGTGTGTGTGTTTGAACCTCAAAGAAGTTGTTGGGGGTGTGTTTGAACCTGAAATAAGTTTTGGGTGGGGTGTGTGTGTTTGAACCCGAAAGACGTGTTGCGGGGGTGTGTTTAAAGTGAACCCGAACGCTGGAACTTTTCTTCGCCTCCATCTAGTTGACTTACAAAATAAATATACTTGTAAAAATAGCCAGAACCCACCTTCCGACTCCCTTTAGTTTCCTCTCCCACTCCTCATGTCCTCCAAAATAAAAGTTGAAGCAAGCTCCTTAGAAAAGAGAGTCTAACATATCTATGCTTGCTGTTCCTTTTTAAAGCATTACTTCGTGTTACGTATGTTTTCGAAAACAGGAAAGAGGCTAAGAAAGTAGGTATTATTTGGCTTTCTTAGTTGTAGGGAACAGTGTCTGGTGCCTGAGTTTGCAGTGAGGGGCATCACTGCCCACCGCAGCCTCCACGTCAGCCTCCCGTGTAGCTGGGACTGCAGGCGCGCGCCGCCACGCCCAGCTAATTGTGTGTGTGTGTGTGTGTGTGTGTATGTGTATATATGTGTGTGGTTTTTTTTTTTTTTTTTTGAGACGGTATCTTGCTCTTGTGGCCCAGGCTGGAGTGGAATGACACGATCTCGGCTCATTGCACCCTCTGCCTCCCGGGCTCAGGTGATCCTCCCACCTCTGCTCCCCCAGTAGCTGGGACTACAGGCGCCGCCACCATACCCGGCTAATTTTTGGACTTTTAGTAGAGACGGGATTTCACCATGTTGGCCACGCTGGTCTGGAACTCCTGACCTCAGGTGATTTCGCCTGCCTCGGCCTCCCAGAGTGTGGGATTACAGGCGTGAGCTACCGCGTCCAGTCAATTTTTTTTTTTTTTTTTTTTTTGGTAGAGATGGGGATTCGCTGTGTTGCCCAGGCTGGTCTCCAACTCCTGGGCTCAAGCTATCCTCTGGCCTCAACCTCACAAAAGGCTGGGATGACAGGCGTGGGCCACTGTGGCTGGCAGTACTTGGCGTCTTATTTTATTTTAAAATCTTAGATTGAGCACGTTTTCTATGCTTTCAGCCGTTAAAAGTTGATAAGTATTACATATGATTCACTCATTTTGGAAAAATAAACAGAACTGTTAAACTAAATCAAGAAGCTGTTCTTTCCAAAGAAACTTGTGCTATAGTTTAAAATAGAAGAAATTAAATGCCTGCTTATTTAATCTCTTTGGAAACAGTTGAACTGAATATTTTTTAGTGAATTAAAGTTTCTTGCTAAGGGAAATATGAGCAGCCACTTGCCTTTTGTGTGTGTTCTGGTAGACAGCATCTAAAATTATCGTTCGTACCCCAGATTTCCTGCTTCTGTTTAGGAGACGGCTATATGGTATAGTGATTTCATATTGCTGTGAGTCATTTCAGTGTTACTACATCAAGCCTGAAGCTAAAGAACAAGTTGATTACAGGAGTCTATCTAGCTCATTATCTCACCTGCTTTTCAGTAGTTCTAGGAGCAACGTGTTGAGTCCTTAAGAAGTATTTTATTGACTAAGAAAATCCAAGTGTATTTATGGAGAGTAATAAGTAATACCAAAGAGGTTTTTTCTTACTGTGCCCTGAGTTTTTAAGTATGGCGTTGCCCACACTTTAATAGTTTTCTATAGAAACCACATTTTTTAGTTGACTTTTTATCTGGTCAAAAAGTGCAAAAAAGAAAAAGATTACAAGGTATTTTATAACCTATTAGACTAGATTCATTTCTAACATGTAGTAATGTCGCTTATGAAATATAAAAAATATTTGGCAGACCTTGGTCATTACCCAGTCTCTGAATTGTTTTAAACATAATGCTGATGACGTCATTTATTGAGTATTCACTATTTGTGATTCATTGTGTTAGATATTTTGAAATATATTGCCTTGTTAAAGGCACACAACAATTTGTGGATTAAATATTATCCCCACTTTACATGTGAGGGATCACCTGGGGAAAGTCATATGGCTATTGCCACTGCACGGTATCAGTGGTAGAATTTTGGCCCAGGTTGTAGCTATTATCACTCTACGGTATCAGTGGTAGAATTTTGGCCCAGGTTGTAGCTATTATCACTATATAGTATCAGTGGCAGAATTTTGGCCCAGGTTGTAGCTATTACCACTGCACGGTATCAGTGGTAGAATTTTGGCCCAGGTTGTAGCTATCATCACTCTACAGTATCAGTGGTAGAATTTTGGCCCGGATTATAGCTATTATCACTATATAGTATCAGTGGCAGAATTTTGGCCCAGGTTCGTCTAACTCTGTTCTTTCCACTGTACCGTGCAGCCTCTTCATGTAGAAATAGGTATTGCTGTTCCTGTTTTTACAGATGGTGGAAACCAGCATTTAGAGATATTCAATAATTTGCTCAAAGATCTGTGGCTAAAGGACAGAGGAGGGGGTATTAGCCATGATTTAACTCTAGTTTGAGGTGACTCCAAAAGCCATAGTCTGTTTTTATGGCAGGTACTTTGATTAATTCGGGACCAACTTATGGTAGTTATTGGGTAGCTTAGACCTTATAGAAAATTTAAAGCCAAGTAAAATTAGTTGAATGCTAATATATAAAAGTTGCCTCACATACTGTTCCCTCATAATGTATAACGGGTACATGGTAGAGCTGTTGTCCTTCGAATTCATATCCTAGGGAACAGCATATATAACCCGTATTTATAATTAGACATGATTTTGAATTTATTGGGAACGTTTTCTTGAGACTTTCTGTGCTGTTTATTTTAAAAGGTTAATCTGGCCAGGTCCGGTGGCTCTCGCCTATAATCCCAGCACTTTGGGAGGCCAAGGTGGGCGGATAACCTGAGATCGGAAGTTCCAGACCAGTCTGGCCAACATGGTGAAACCCGGTCTCTACTAAAAATACAAAAATTAGCCAGGTATGATGGCGGGTGCTTGTAATCCCAGCTGCGTGAGAGGCACAAGACTCACTTGAACCCAGGAGGCGGAGGTTGCAGCGAGCTGAGATTGTGCCACTGCGCTCCAGCCTGGGCGACAGAGTAAGTGCTATCTCAAAAAAAAAAAAAAAAGAAAAATGAAAAAGGTTAATCTTTTGGAAAAGGGGAATATTTATTTGGGAATGGGTGACTTGATACAGTGGACAAGAAATCACAGAAGACTTCTTGAAGCAGAAAGGATATAACTTGGATTTGGGCAAGCAAAAACAAGAAGGAAAGCCATTGTAGGCAGTAGTGGACAGCATGCAAAAAATGTCAGAGTGTAAGGGACATCAGTTAATTTTCCCAGTCCATCATTCAGTCTCTTCTGGTAACAGGACTCCCATTTTCCTAGGGAACCACCCTCTCAGTTAAGTGAACCCCACCCTGATACACGGTATGCCAGTGACTCAGGCCCAGCTCATGGTCAGTCAGTCTACAGTCCATTGCTCTGGCCGTAGTGATTGTTCAGAGGTGGGCACATTTTGCAATGAGCACAGATAAGTAACTGAATTTTTTGTTGAACTATTGAGAAAGAGGCATGCTTTGAGTCCTGGGGTTGCTGAGAGAATAGTATGTGAGCCTGGAAGTTACCAATAAGTGGAAAGCAGAACCAAAAGATGGAGACAGTGAGACCAAGTTCTGATGGCAGTTTTTGTACCTTTGGGTCAGCCGCCATGCTTAAAGTCAGTGCTGTCTCTGTACTTTCAAATTATGTGAGCTAGTAAATTCTCCTTTCTGCTTAAGGTGAGTAAAAAAATTTTTTTTGTTTTTGAGACGGAGTCTTGCTCTGTCGCCCAGGCTGGAGTGCAGTGGCGTGATCTCGGCTTACTGCAAATTCTGCCTCCCAGGTTCAAGCGATTCTCCTGCCTCCGCCTCCTGAGTAGCTGGGATTACAGGCACCCGCCACCACGCCTGGCTAATTTTTATATATATAGTAGAGACAGGGTTTCACCATATTGGCCAGGCTGGTCTCGATCTCCTGACCTTGTGATCCGCCTGCCTCGGCCTCCCAAAGTGCTGGGATTATAGACGTGAGCCACCGCACCCGGCCAGAATTTTTTGATGATAAAAAGGTCCTGACTAATACAGTGAAACCGCTCATGATACTGTGATGAGACCAATTTGGTCAAAATAAATTACTGGATTAGCGAATATAAGAGCTGCCTTTCACATATGAGGAAGCTAGATAGCCGATAGGGTTA